ACTTATCAAGCCATGCTGTAGCAGGTGTCTCACATACAAAGTAGAGGAAGATGGGCACGGATGTTAGCTCGGGGCCAACCTTTCCCAGCAAAAAGAGGATGATTGGCAACAGATGTTAGCTCAAGGCTAATCTTCCTCACCAAAAAACAAAAAAAAAAAAAAAAAAAGTCAGTGTAATATAGTACCACAAAAGGACAAAACCCACATGATCATCTCAATAGATGCTAAAAAAAGAATTTGACAAAATATAACACCCCTTCATGAAAAACTCAACAAACTTAGAATGGAAGGGAACTTGCTCATCATGATAAAAGGTATCTATGAAAAACCCACAGCTAATATCATACTTAATGGTGAAAGACTGACTGCTTTTCCCCTGAGATCAGGAACAAGACAAGAATGTCTGCTCTCCTCATTTCTATTCAACATTGTACTGAAGGTTCTAGCCTTAGAAATTAAACAAGAAAAAGAAATAAAAGGAATTCAAATTGGAAAGGAACTAGTAAAACTATCTTTGTGCACAGATGACATGGTCATATAGAAAATCCTAAGGAATCCACAAAACTATTAGAACCTATTGCAGGATACAATATCAATGTACAAAAATCAATTGTATAGTAACAATGAATAATACAATATACACTTGTGCACCACATAACATTTCAGTCAACATCAGACCACACATATGATGGTGGTCCCATAGGATTATAATGGAACTGAAACATGCCTCTTGCCTAGTGACATCATAGCCATCATAACGTCAGAGCACAACACATTATTCACGTGTTTGTGGTGATGCTGGTATAAAGAAACCTACCGCGCTGCCAGTCATATAAAAGTATAGCACGTACAATTACATACAGTGCATAATACTCAATAATGATAATAAATGAGTATGTTACTGGTTTATATACAGTCATGCATCGCTTAACAACAGGGATATGTTCTAAGAAATGCATTGTGAGGCGATTTCATCATTGTGAAAACATCATAAAGTGTACTTACACAAATCTAGATGATATAGCCTACTACACACCTAGGTTATATGATACTAATCTTATGGGACCACTGTCATATATGTGGTCCATCCTTGACCAACATGTCGTTATGTGACACATTACTGTATTTACTACATTATACTTTTTATCGTTACTTTAGAGTGTACTCTTTCTACGCTATAAAACAAAGTTTACTGTAAAACAGTATGCCATGTTACACAGGCAGCAACCTCCCACATCTTGTGTTTACCATGTCTCTTGCTTGCATCATTTTCTCTTGTGCTTGATTTAATCTCGTGTTGTTTTGTTCATCATTGCCCCTAAGCATACAAAATCCACTGTTAATGTTGCCAGTAAGAGGCCACATCGAGTGATTGACCTGGAAACTAAATTAAAAGTGATTAAGGACTATGAAGGTGGATAATCAGTGATGGTTATTGCTTGCTGGAC